CATGTTCAACTGCATGATGTAATGTGGTCCGAATAAACGAGCATACATACGTAACACAGCATCACGTTTCTTTCAGTGATTCATAAGCGCGTCCTCGAAAAACGACCGAACGAACCTTCCCTCCCGCCTTCGATAATCGAACCAGCCGTTTTTATCCCATCATTTCGAAATAGAATCATCGTCATCCACTTTCACCGGACGATTTTCTGCACCCTCCCACTTCCCCATCCCTTTTCGACCGTTTTTCTCGATGGTAGATCGGATTAAATGGCGGACAGATTGATCGCGCAATAAAGGATAATCCAGGCAGACGCTCGTTAACCCTCGTTCCTACTTTACCTATTCCACCGCTTCTTCTTTCGTCTTCTTCTTCTTGCCACGAAGAAGGGTGGAAATATACGAAGTATTTTCGATACAAACTAATTCTCCATTCACCCGAATGACGTCACGAATGTTTTAAACTTCGGTCAAGGTAAAGAGAGGTTATCAAAGGTCGCGCGAGAAGTGGGTTAATATTTTATTCCTCGAAATTGAGCCAGAATTGTTATTCGTTACGGTGGTTATTTGGAGAAGTTTCGCAATTTGGTCAAATTTAATCAATCACGCGCGAAAGCATTCGCGAAGAGAAGGTACAACATACGAGAGGATAAATTCGCGAGGGAAAAAGTCCTCTCCCCCCTCCTAGTGGAAACTATTCAAAAGTCCTTGACGACGAGGCTCATCAATCAAATCTCTGCGAAGGTAAAAGCTCGCTCGTTATCTTCGTCGCGGCTAGTTGAGCACGAAAGCGAGGCCTCGCGAGAGATAACCGGTGCACCAGAGAAACGGCGTATCCATCTTGTGTTGTAAAAGGCCTGGCGAGGGTAAAAGTAATAAAAAGGTATGCCATTTTCGTGGACGAGATACTCTCGCTTGATCTACTCTGGTGTCTGTATATATATAGGCAACGGCAAAGAAATTCAGATGAAGGTCACTTTAACCAACGAGAGGACGCGAGGCGAAAGGGTGAGGAAGGGGCGTGGAGGAAAGGGGATGGACGAAGCGTAGGTTAGAAGGAAACAAGGTGTGGGAGGTGGAAAATCTCGATCGACGAATAAATTTCATTCAGGTGACATGTTCCTGTAGTAGAAGGCCGCGCTGATTGCAAATTAGTTGATTTTATGCGACCATGGGGCGCGATTAACAGCACGTCCCCTTTTCGAACACAGTAGCCTCTCTGCCGAATTCATTTAACGCTAGTACCTTCTCTCTCTCTCTTCTCTTTTCATTTTTTTTTTCTTCAAACGTTACATTGACAGAGGAAAGAAGAAGAAAATGCGTCATTCCATTCTTCGTTCGATGGTAGAAAAAGGAAAAAAAGAAACGCAGAAAGTGTCTCGAATAATCTCTCTCTCTCTCTCTCTCTATTGGTGAAACAAGAAGTATATATCTATAGAGACAGCCTCGGCGAAAAAGGGTGTAAAAATGTTCGATCGAGGCAACGCAGCGGAAGAGATACGGATGCGAGAGCGTTGTTCGAAGTATCTTCGGCAAAATGAAATACCGTGTCGTAGAGTCAGCATAACCATCACGGGGAAATCCTCCCCGTTTCGTCGTTTCTTTCTCGTCGAACGTGCTTCAGATATTCCTCAAAGTGGTTCCGATCATGATGTGCAGATTAGGAGGAGGAGGAGGAGAAGCTAAAAGTCGATATCGAAAAGCCTAGCACCGCCTTTAATTACATCCTTTCCAAGGCTAGATCGAGGTGCTGTGCTCCCATTGGAGATAAATGAATATTTATCATCCTCCTCCTCTTTCTGTCCCTGCCGCCCCCGTCACCTCCTCTCGAGCACATTCAAAATCTAATCCCTGGTCTGTGGCGACCGAAGGAAGGGGATGATTGAAGTAAAACGCAACTGAGGAGTGTTTACCAACTACTCGCGGGGGTCCTTCAACTTTCTTCGATCGAGTCCTTCCACGGTGCCGCGAATTACGCAAATTATCACCGTGACTGCCCGCCTCCGCCATCGCCGCGGACCGCTCCGCCTCCATAGCCGGCTATGTCGCGGGTCAACGCGTGCACCACAAATAAGCACACGAAATCGAACGGGCTCATCTATAATTCGCCGATTACTCCTGCGTGAAGCTTTTTTTCGTTAAAATGAAGTCTTCGTTGTTTGAAATGTAACTTTGGTCCATGGAGGAACCGGAGGATATTCAAGACACTTCTCTTGGTAAATTAACCTGTTAAGATAAGACGAGTTAACTCGTCATTGGCTAGTAATTAGGAAGCAACAGTTTACTTATCGAGGATTTATTCAGTCTTGATTGTACTGTTACCTATGAATTGGACATAAAATGTAGAGTGAAGTAATTGGTTATGATTTTTAGTTATTTCGATTGCAAACTAGAGGGAGATTGACTTTCTGTCTGATGGATGAACTCATTATGGTGCTTTTTAAAACCGTATTCATGGAAGAACAATTATTAGTCAATACTTAAAACATAATAGTCCGTTATGTATTGAACATAAAATAACAAAATGAAGTAATTTGGCTGCAATTTTCACTCGTTTCGATTATAAACTAGGGAGAGATTCAATTTCTATTCCATTCTTCATCTCAAACTAACCAGCCTACGAGTAAAAACCTCCGTCCGAACCGAACAACTGGAAACAGTAGCTAGAAAAGTTTATTTACCAAGAATTTATTCACGTTTAATTATACTACTATGCATGTATTAACCATAAACTACAAAATGAAGTAATTATAAAATTCGACAAACTAGAGATGGATGGAATTTGTGCTCGATATGTGAGCCCAGTAATGGCACTTCTGAAAACTGTCGTACACTCGCAGAGGACCGATTAACCACTCCATTCTTCATCCCGAACAAGCCAGCCTACAAGTAAAAACGGACCAATCTACAGGCTACACTTTTCTAAGTTCCAAGCAACTGTGTAACAGTCTATTCCGCGAGATTCGCGGATTTCTATCAAAAAATCATCCGATCCTAATCCCGTCACCTCTACCGACCAGCACACTATCCCTCCTCCCTTCGCTGCTCCAGCTGAAAGCACTCGAAACGCGCAAACAGAAGGAACCTATATAACGGAGGCGAAGAAGAAACCGTGAAAAAGGGTGAAAAAAAAGGAAGGAAAGAAAGGAAGAAAGAAAGGTGGAACTGCTGGGATGTCCGGAAAGGAGGAAGGAGACTGAGGAGAAAGGGAAAAAAGAAGAAAAAAAAGGAAATGGAGAAGAAAAGAACGAAGACATGGAAACGCGATGAAGGGGACCACGAGAGGAGAGAGGAGAGAGGGGGAGGTCCAGAGAGGGAGAGAGGTGGGAGAGAATCACGTGGGAAAGGCGAAAAGCCGAGATACGGGGGAGATCAATACGAGGTCGCTAGGCAACCAACCAGCCTCCGGCGATCTCAGTCCGGGTAGACAGGGTGCCGCCACCAACCCCTGAAACCACCCACTAGCTGCCCCCCGAACCGACCTGCCTCTGAATATATCCCATACTCTCACTTCTCTCTCTCTCTCTATCTATCTCTTCATCCTCCTCATCTTACTGTTTTTCATCTCATCCTCTCTTTCACTCGTTCTCTTCCTCTATGTGTGTGTGTGTAATGCGAGTGTTCTCTCTACTAGCGACCAATCTCTATTTCTCTCTCTTCATCCTCGTCCTACTGTTTCTCATCTCACCCTCTCTCTCACTCGTTCCCTTTCATTGTATGCGTGCTCTGTCTTCTAGCGACCAATCTCTCTCTCCCGTTCTCTCTTTCTGTCTGTCTCTCTTGTTCCCTGGATGCTCTTCGTCACTGCTACTATCTCCTGCGGACGTACGCTGCCTTCGAAATCTCTCGTACACTTGGCTGCGAGCTCTTGATACCGCTTGCAATATTTACGATAACCGTTTGCATAGGAATCTCGATTTTGCGATGGATACGCGAGCCTCCAGACCCCTAGCTACGTCGAAGAGGAACGACAGGAGCGGTATTGGAAATCGGTCTCTCCCTACGTTGGATGCTGGGCGAGTCTCACCTGGGTCCGTAGCTCTTCTTCTTCCTCTCTCCTTCTTTTCGGTTTTGTTGGTTATTTTCGTGCTTGTTTTTTATGCTTGTCGTGTAGATGGTGTTACGGTGGTTGTTCTCTTTTGTTGTTTTTTTTTTCTTTTATAGAGATTTAGAGGGTCGTTCGTAGATTTTCACAAAGACGACGCTGGACGCTCGATTGATCGGCGAGCAGCCTGTGACCCGGATGTATCACCACCTGTTGTAGTGCCTCGCCTTGCCCGGTATGCTACACCTGAACAGAGAGCAGTTTCTCAGGGAGTTCGATGGTGGATCTCGGGATGGAAATTTGAAAGTGGTGAGATTGTTTGTGGGGGGTGGTCGATAAGATGCTGGGTGGACTTGTGAGTTTGAAAGTTGTTCGAGAGGACTATTTTTAGAGCGATGAAAGGGTGGATAAGCGGAAGAATGCCTTGAACGTCGTTCTATTAACCCTTTAGCTACGGCGAACATGCATGCACACCTTTAAAATATCCTCAAGTATTATATAAAGTGTACATATACAGATATATTTAACACACAATCTTGGACGTACTCTAATTCGTACACAATTCACACCGACATTGAATCCGCTACCAATTTTTTACGACTTTCAAATGAAGTTTACATATTTTTCATTGTAAATAGTAATTTTATTTCTAAAATTAACAGCAATTCTTAAAGCTGTTAACTTCTTTCGAAAAATTCTTGAATAATTTGCAATGCACAGTGGTTTCGAACTTTCGACAAATTTCGTTACTAAACAGACATATTACGTATTAATTCGGAGACGATAAATCGTAGTAAAAAGTGCATTACCCTGCGCGAAACATAAAATTTAACAGGTATAAATTAACTTTCGCTGGTGAAAGTGGCCAAAGTGTTAAACAACCCTCGAAACTTGGACAAAATTACGCGATAGATATTCCTTAGGTAAAAATTACTATTATTCGGACACGGTGATTATTTTAATCGGACAATTGACAGAGCATGGCTACGCCTCGCAGAATCCAGTGCTCCGGCGGATGTTCCGTCGGGAGCCACATGGCGATTACGAAGTTGGTCGAGTGGCCGGTCGTCGAAAGAACGCCTTTTCTCTCGGAGGTTTTGTACACGGGACAGGTGTACGTTTTCCTTTCAGGCACTTGTTCCTTTTTCATCGGTATCATCCAAATCTGCCGAAAACGAGTGCGACAGATTGTTGAACGAATTCGATTGCGTGCTCGCTGAGCGTGAAGAGAATACACTGTAAGACTGGAATATCGATAAGATCTCGAAGAACAAGGTACAAATTGAAAAACTAGGAAAGGGATATTTTTCTATCTTCAAATTTTATCACTTATTTCACGATTCTCTGACGATTCACGATAACCGAACCAACCTTTTCAAAGTATTCTTTTTATACAATACTCAAACAAATGAAAATTAACCCTTTAGTGACAGAATTATTTCTTTTCAAGATTATCGAGTCTGTAATGGACAGAAAATTGAGATAGATTTTTGCTTGAATATTCAAACCAGGAGAGATAATATTTTCCTTTCTTTGTTTCGTACAGTAAATAAAGATTTATTTGCTTCTGTGACGGATAGTAAATTGCAATCAATTTTTGTTCGAGTATTCCTCCCAATTATTGTTTTTTCCTTAGCAAATATCGTGTTAACGCTTGTGTTTTCAATTACCTCTGATAAATACTCACGTAAGGGACATTGTCGTACAGAATTTTCGGCAACGATTCGTCCAGCTTCATCGTAGTCAAGTTGAAGCTAGCTCCATCGAGAAATAGGCCGTAAACGTAGACACCGTCGGCTGGTGGCTCGGGGAAATCGGTTTCGCTGAGAGGAACGAAGTCGTAGATGAGCAGATCTATGGGTATCGAGTACTTTCTCGCGTAATTTTGACGCGCGCCGGTGAGGAACGCCTGGGTGAAGTAGAAACCGGATATCCAGAAGGTAGTTGGTGGTCCATCGTCGTACCATTGCTGTAGAAAAATATTAAAAACTCTGCTTGGTGAAGTAGCTTGCGCGATATCCTTTTCATACGATCCAGTCAATTTCATTCCAGTCAAATACCAATTTTGATGGATCTCATGTATAATACAGTTCTTCGAAGAATATTTTATACGTATCTTCTTTACGTCCCTCGAAAATCGTGTCAAAGGGGTGAAAATAACTTGAAAATTTTAAGATAGAAATACTTATCTTTCCAATATCTCGGAAACTATTGGGTTTGCAAAAGTAATTCAATCCCTTCGTCCAATAATTTTTGTCGAACATCTCGCGTGTCTTTTCATTAAGAAACTCTTTCCACCGAGACGAGTTAAAAATTAATTCCGCGGATGCGAAGGGGTTAACGAAAAAAAATCAGCCGACGTGAAAAAAGAAAGGAGGGGACGATTGTTAATTACTTGAAGAAAGGCTAGCCTCTTCAAGAAGTCCTGAACATAACTGCCCAACGGCTTCAACGACGGATAAGAGTTCTTCATCCACATCTTCGGTATCTTTCCGGTAATTATCGATACGTAGACCTCCTCGAGGTCCGGGTTCATGATCACCAGACCTTAGATTAAGTTCACGAAGCCGTGAAAAATCGATAGACACAGCAAGAGAGAATGAGAGAGAGAGAGGGATAGAGAAGGCCTGGTCGTCACACCATGCTTAGCCATAGGTTTACCTTTGATCGCCCTCTGAACATTTATGAGGCTATTCCTGATCGTTTGCAGAAGCTTGTTGAATCTTCCCATTTCCTGGACCAGCACCGTGTTCATGCTTTGATTATATAACGTTGGGTATTTCTCAAGCGCGTCCACCAGATCGAAGTTACCGGGCAACTTTGACAGAATATCAGACGCCACCCCGTAGACGACCTCATCGGGTGATTTCCCTGTGTCTGTTTCCGTTTCTCCGGTGTCCTAATTGGAGGATGGAAGAGTAGTAGCACACAACACAGGGCCCTCGTTAGTCGTCCGCGCGATTCGTCACGCAGAATACATTTAAGGAATCCTATTATATTTGTGAAACACGAGGCGAGCCGAGGCGGCCGCGTACACGCCTTAATTGTCTCGAAATTAATGAACGAAGATAATGATAACGACCGTATCCCTCCTCCTGTTCGCGATACCCAGCCTGATACCGAGATTTTCCTCGGCGAAAGCGGAAGATACTTTCGGTACATCGCGTGCTGCTTGTAGATTTAACGAAATTGTCGGGATAACGCCGTAACGAATAACAAGTAATCCATTGTTTAATGCCACGTAATAGCGTGACTACTTGTAGCCATTTAAATTACCTTCTTATGTAATTAGAAAAAATTGAGGGATATTAATATACACTGTTGTCCAAAAGTTTGGGACCACTGAGAATTTTCAGAAATTCAGTCTAAATTTCTAATAAATGTTAGAAATTAAATTTAAATAAAATTGAAGAAACTGTTGAGATTTTTTTGTTATCTAAATCTAGCGTAATCGAAGAATTGGTAGCATAATCGATATTCCTGTAAACTGATAAGTGCTCTCAAATTTTTCACCGCTAGAAGATTTTTACAAATTTGTTGAATACTTTGTGAGTGTCACTAAAATAAATACACTTGCAATAGATAACACATTCACTGTCCAACGACTACGGAGCATAAAGTTAACTTAACTCGGTAATCCAAAAAGGATACATTCTATTAATTGAATTATTTCCATAGCAATAGACCTCTTTCTGTCTAAAAGGAAACACGTGTCCTGAGTCACAACGATTCAGTGGACAGTGAACATGTTAATATCGCTAAGATTATTACATTACCTTTTTCCTAGATTTTTTCAGCTAAAGATTCAAACACGAAATGCACGAATAACAAATGACCCAATAATATAATTTATTTGTCGAATAAAAATTGACGTTGAGATGACTTACTTTAATATCCAAAATAGGCTACGCAATGAAACAGGACAAGGAATAAAACATTCGATTCTACGTTAAGATAAATTACTATACAATTATAGTCTCACCTGTGTAGATAATATAGAAGACAACATCAACGCAGTCTCCTGCTGATCCTTAATGATATCCGCGTTCTCGTTCATTCCAAAGACACTAGGCGCGGTGATCATCGGAAAAGATCTGATATACTCGAGATATTCGTTGTGACTGGTTGCTTGCGGTACGTAATATATGCCACTAGGATCAAACAAGTATTTCTTCCGCGCGATCAGTTCCATGCGATAGAATCTCTCGAGGATCGTGTTCAAAGTCCTCCTGTCCCATTCATCTGTCACGCGGCCGCCATAATTGCACTCGCCTGTAGGAAAAATTAATTGCCAATCGACCTACATAGTCTCTGAAATTCCTGATTAACTGATAAATTAATCTCGGATATGAAATAGAAACGGTGATTGATAATTAAAACAGAAAAACCACGATACCCGTTAAATACTTCAAGGCAGTGAATTGAACATCGTCGTATTGGTCCAAGAAAATTTTTAACTGCAATGCACTTATACGTAAATCAGTCTCGTTGAACTCGTACTGATTGTTCCAACCAATAGGGCCGAATTTCCTTCGTTCTTGAACAATCGCATGAAAGAAACACAACGAAAACAGTAGCTTCTTAAACGTCTCTTTTTGCTTGGACGTTTCGAAAAAGTCCTCGTCGCATATTGGATCCTTGAAACCAACGAAACTCGTCAATCTTCGAATTTACTCAAGATTCTACTTATCTTTACTATTTACCTGTAAAAACGATCTAACAATATTCGCTCTCAACCCTTTCGGTGGTTCGTTCGTCATTTTGACACCATTCTGAAGCACGCTGACAGGAAAATGATCGACAGGATAACTGGTTAGCCATAATCGAAAATCAGGATGTACCGTGCCAGGTGTGAAACTTTCGCAAATCTGTGGAAAAAACTTTTCCCCTTTATTTCTTGGCCCGCCGTTATAGTGTCATTCATAGGTTCGCCATTCTTCTCGTATACCTTCTCCAAGAGTGGCATAAAGCTCTTGGCAAGATGACAATTCTGCAGGACCACCCAGGTGCCATTTTTCACGCCATCGTCGATAAGCTGCGCGGCGATAACTCCCTGTCCTTGACCCAAAGACAGGGAGAAGAGCCGGTTTGTGCCGAAACCTTGGTCGTCGGCGAATTTCAGTAGAATCGCCATGGGATCGGCGCCAGGAGTCAGTACGAATATGAGGGGAATGCAGGAATACGAGTCCGCGAACGACGATACCAGGTCGAAGGGCGGCGGCTCGATGTACAGGCGTCCCAGTTGTTCTACCGGAAACCAATCGAAAATCGTTCGACTCCCGATGAAACACAGATATAATACTCAGATCATTCTTTTTTTTATTCATATGTATGTACGTACAGCGGTGGATAAAAGGGTAGAAACATTGCGATAGTTGGTGGAACCGACATAGTAAAGTCGTGAATTGAGCCGTTTTTTTTCTGAAGTGGTATAAGTTCCAGTTTGAAAAAAATAAGTTAAGGCCAGTTTCGGCTAAACATGAATGACTTCTTAGACTATGTCTATTTTATACTACTCATTTTTTCCAAAATTGGACTTATACTACTTTAAAAAAGCGATTCAAATTTATTGTATAAATGATTTTTTTGAAAGTGGTATAAGTTCATTTGTAACTGAAGAAACCTTGTTTTTCTTTAACAATATTAGACGCAAACCTTTAAATATCTCGGTATAAGAATAAATGGACTTGTACCACTTTAAAAAGAAAACGACTCGAGCAAAGCATTAAGGGAGAAGTCCAGTTTGAAAGTATCAAAAAATCGATTCTTTTTTATTTGTATAAATTGAACTTACATTTTAAAAATATCGCTGTAGAATATTAAGGACCAATTCATAAAAATAACTCAGGGCTCTAAACTGCTAGGGGCTGCTTTGTAAACAATATAAAACCGATTTTATTGATAGAAAAATTACTTTTTTCAAAATTTTCAAATTTTCGTTGCTTTTTGATACCAGTCCGTTCAATCCGAGCATAAACTTTCAAGGAACAATAATACTTGAAATTTTCTTGCTTTCAAACCACTTCGACAGCTATATTGCTTCCACCAACTATACTTAAGCGTTATTAGAGAAGAAGGTTTCTTTAGACTACCTTGACTGGTTCAAGAAATCAATTCCTTTTGCATTTTCATAAAATGATACTACGTTATTTAAAAAATGAAGAATACACGTTGAGATCTATATCGACACATGTTGCAAATATCAATATCGTGATATGAATCTCAATGCGTGTTTGACTGTTTCGATGTAGAGGGTGTTCACGCTATTACTAGCCAGCGTTTTTCTCGTAAATGGTAAGTACTAAAGAAAAAATGAAAGAGGAAAACGTTTTGCAGTGTTCTATGACCTATACGATAGCGTATATAAATTTTTTATATTTGCCATATTTCTCGAGAAACGATGGTGACCTTTGATTTTTTAAATGGAACGCTGTAGTACAATCAGACAAGTGATTTACAACTGTTGGCCTGCAGTATACACCATTCGACTTGTGTCTTAATATTTTTCATACGAGTCGAACGTTTTTGTCGCGTGGAACATTCTTCTGACATAAATATGCAAACGACGACATGGCGTTAGGTTAACGCGTGTCGTTCAACGAGAAACTCAGCGCACCTACGCGTGCATACACGTTTTTTACCTTCCACAAATTGCTGGGCGGCTGGCACGACTTTGTCAGGACGAATACATCGCAGCACGAGCATTCTCTCGAAAGGGGTGAGCTCGCTGTAAGGCGCAGGGAACGTTAAAATGTGAGGCTCCATGTGATCAAAGACGAACTTCCAAGCGTTCAGGTTTTTCGTGAACGAGTCTTTGAATCCCTAAACGGAGGAGAAGAAAAAAACGGGATCCAACATCGCATATATGTATCTTATGAAGGATATTTAACAAAATCAAACGATGAAAATTCTATTTACCGTTTCGCTTGCATTTTCATTAAGAGGATTGTGTACCAACATTGACCCATAAGTTGCTTTACCGTTTAAAAATTGAACAACCTTTTTTACTATTCTGTATTTTAAAATTTGTGTTTCAGATTTTTGAAAAAAATTTTACTCAAATTTTCAATGGTAAAACGACTTATAGTCCACACTGTCTATATTATTGTCAGTGTCACTCTGCCTGAACAATATGTACATTTCCCAGATGTTCTAGGAAATGTTTTGAAGTGTAACGATTTAAAAATACTGTTTCATAGTTTTGTCAATTTTTCTTCTAAAGTACCAAAACAGATTTAGGCGATAAAAAAAGTCCAAAGAAAAATACTCGACTGCCTATTTGTACATCTACTAATTCGAGTCACAGTACCTCCAAGCCAGGAACGTTGTCCAGACGACACAATTCGTCCCAAGATTTCGAGGGCAGCCATTCGGTGGGATTGACGAAAGGATTGTCAAGGCCTACGCCGCCGGTCAACAGAAACATCCATTGGGGAATCGAGAGTTGTCCCTGCTTATTCAGCAGGTTCACCGAAAGCAACACTGAGAATAAAAGCTTGTCCTTCTCGAACAGCGAACGACATATGTTCACGTAGAGGGAGTACGTGAAGTGTTTCGTGAGATCCTTCAGTCGTTGCTGAATGTCTTCGACTGGCTCTGTGTTGTCGATCGTGTTCTTGAAGAGATTCACGAACCAAACCAACGAGTACTGATACATTGGATCGATGTTCGCCAGTACAGCTACGAAAAATTCGCAATTAATTTTACCCTCTTTAAATGTATTATAAAAAGATATACCAGTTGTGAAGAAAAGAACAGCGCTGTAAACGGCTATAGGCGTGTATTCTAATCTAGCAGCATCGATGGACTTCTCGGTAATCTCAGCTGCAGTTTGTTTCTTAAGAATCTCATCAGACAGATTCTTCGACGAACTGAGCACACTAATGGCAGTTTCATCTTCGAGAATATTTCCTTCTGAGGTCGATAATACCTCCAGAATTTCATCTTCAATTTCTTTCAGCTTCCTGAGAGAGAGAAGGTTGAAGATAAATATAAAAGAACGGTAATAGAATGTTGACTTACTTTTTATTGGCCGCGCCTTGGACGATCAGCTGATTCTTCTCAGCCTCCAAGTCTGGTCTCTCCTTAGCCACCACTATACCAAGAAGCTGATCTTCCAGACCAATCGGTGTGATCATGAAATTCAACAGTGTCACCTTAACAGCTACTTCTGGTAGATAATGAGGATTGCGTAGTTTCGTTGTAATATAGAACCTGAAACAAAGGAAGCAACAGATAAAAGCTATTACCATCGATCCGATACCTCAAACGTCTCGCCTAAGACGTTTGTAAACTCGCGTAAAGTAAAATAAAACGGTCACCTAAAATTCGAAGAGTACTCGATGATGGAATCTCCAACCTTAATACACTCTGTACCTCCAGATTTGAAAGTCTGTTTCATCAGAAGAGGTTCCAAAGCGGCATCCAATTCCTCGCCGACGTTCTCCAGCAATACAGGCTGTCCAAACTGAATAGCATTCTCCAATACTCTCATGTAATCACTCTGAACCAGCCTGATCACATTAACGTTATTCTCCTTCTCCATGTTCTTCACCCACTTGTTTGCCTGTCCCTGGGGATCGATCATCAGAGGCCATCGTCGTGAATTCATCACGATTATCCCATTGTCTATGGAGAACAAATCGCTAGGCAGCCCGAAGATGTTCCAAGACCGAATCAACACAGGATCACCCAGGATCTGAGTTAGCTGATAATCCTTCGTGCAGACCACACGCAGATCCATACAGATATGCACCCAATTGTCAATTTGCTCTTGCCTGTACTGAGTGGTGAACACACCAAGATAAGCTACCACCCCAGAACCGATGAGGATGTCTCCTGTCAGAGTGTAATAACGCTCGCCCAGTGCCTTTGCGGTTTCAGACCATCTGGTGTACTCTCCCCCCAGGCCACCAATCAGCTCCTTGGCTCTCCTTAATTTCGCCTCGCACTCGTTCACTTCATCCGTCATCGCCTTGTACTCCGCCTTCCGTTGATTCAACAGCTCCTCCAGCTTCGCCAGCCTATTCTGCACCTCCTGCAACTGACTTCTCTTCAGGTTCAATTGCGTCATCGCGTTGTCATAGTCCGCCTCGGCTAGAGCGAGCGCTTGTTTCTTTGGCGCCACGATTTTTGCCACTTTGTCGTATTCAGATAAGGCGAACACCCATCTGCAGAGACCCTCGCAAGCAGTTGAGACGTTTCTGATCCTTTCCGGGTCGAAGTTCGGGTTGGTTAGAATGGTACTGCGAATTTTATTCATGATTCGTTCAGGAATGTTGTCTTTGTCGAAGGTTAACAACGACTCCAGGAACTTCATGTCGCTCAACATGCGGAGAGACGCCTTCCAGTAATCGTCCACTGTGCCCTCGGGTGTTTTTACTTTTTCCGGCTTGACGTCCTGGTGGGACAGTGTTTCTGTCAGGTTTTAGTCTTTCAAGGTTTATTTATTATAGTGTCGCGTAGCGAAATTGGGGATTTTTACGTTTCTTATTTTTAGTTTGAATATTATCAATCTTTAAAATCGTTCAAAGTTCCGGAAATGAAAACTATTTTTTCTGAATTTTTTTAGAATAACGTCTCAACTTTGTAAAACTTTGGTGAATAATGTTTCTTTTAATACGGTAATTTTCATGTTTTATGAAGATTGTATCTACCCTTGACCACTTTCGAAACTGTATCATTCATATTTTCAGACTTAAATGTCACAAAATAGAAACCTTCAATTCTTGCTAAAAAAAAATACATCCTCATGGCCAAACTGTTCGCTCTTTAACTACAATCGAAGTTTACAAATCGAACCTTTAGAATGCAAACTGCTTCCATCACCAACCGAACACCAGCTGGCGGTCTCTTCATGGACCTCACAATCTGAATATCCTGCGGAGTGAGAGTGTTCAGGGCAGCGTTCGCCGCGTTCAATATTGGCATCACTTCCTGCAGATCAGCGTCACATTCCGCACGAATGGTATCAGCCTCGTGCGCCACAACCTGTATACCCAAAAAATTCCAATGAAATCCCCCAAAAGAAGAAAAGAACCTCCAAATTATACTCAGGACCCTCTTTACCTCAAAATCTCATTAATATCGAATGCAAGTCAGAAAACGTGTCTTTCACCGGCAGTAATTAAAGAACACGAAGAAACGAAAAGTCGAGTGCCTCTTCGCAGAGGTTTCCTAACTAAATTCAAGTAACTGTGATCTTTAAGCCGGCAACACCTTACCATAGCAGCTTCCTCATCCCTCTTCACGATTTGCTCCATGGCGGCCGCCTCCTCGCTCTCCCTTTGAACATCAAGGAACATAGCCTCCACGTCCTTAGCAGCGACGAGGAGTTTCGGTTGCAACGCCACTAAAATCTCTTGCATCTTCTCCACTTGCTTGTGAGTACTGTCCAACTTTTCCAAGCCAGCCTCGTACCTTCGTTTACCGTCGATCGCCTCCTGCCTCTTTTTCGCCAGCAAATCCTTGAACGTGCTGATTAGCTGTAGGTACGAGGTAGGAGTCACGTAATTGTACCTCCGAGCTTTCTTCAGGAACTCATGTGACAATTCCTGCGTAGACGTATGGAAGAACTGACACATTTCAATGCAAGCTGCCCTTTCGTCGTGTGTCAGATCGATCTCACCGAGGAATTTGGTCGCCACTGCTAACAGAGCGTCCTCAGGCCACGGTTGCAACCAGTCTATGGTGCAACAATTCACCAGAGCTGGGAATTTTCGAATTCTCACGCGAAAATTGTCACCTATCGGCGACATAGTCACCACCACGTGCAAGTGTTCGCGGACAGTTTGCACGAAGAAGTTGAACAAGGCTACTGGACTTCCATCCGTCTGCATGGATCTGTCTCTTTGACGATCGATCGCACGCATCTTCTCGCAGATGTCTGTCAATTCGTCTGCAGGGAATATATTAGGTACTTCACCGGAGTTTAATAAGTTACTGATGTCCTCGAGGAACGTTTCCTCCTTGACCTGAGTGTCCATGAACAAGAAAACAGTGTGCAGGTCACTGGCGGCGCTCTTTTTTAAGATACCCTTCAAGTCCTCGTGCCACTCGTGAAGACCGTATTGTTGGGACATTTCTACTTGGAATAATTCGTAGTCGGCTATGTGTGAGGCTAGTTTTGTCAACGATTGACGACCTGAACCACCCACTCCGATTAATAACGCGTGACTTCGAGGCTGCATCATCACTCGACAGATTTTGGATAGATGTTCCACTGCGAATCTGTTGGTTTTTGTTTTTATTTTAAAGAAATTCAAGAACCATTTGAAAATACGAAAGAAATTCAACGAAAATAATCATTTCGAATCGAAACCTGAAAAGCACGAGGTTCATCGGTGTTCTCGAAATGGAATTGTACTCCGCGAGATATTCTTCGACAATGATCGCGAGGTAATCCAAATCCGACACTTCCATGTACAGCTTCTTATCCGCCAGTGGGTCTTGGAAGTCGCAGTAAACCAGATTTCGAAGTTCCATTTCGGTCACCTGTTCAAGATCAAAGAAAGGGAACAGTATTCAAGAGGTGTTCTAAAATTACCGAGCAGTCGACGATTTAATTGATAATAAATTAATTCAACAGAAATTCAACCTGATTGTTCTCCGCTCCTATGAGTAACTCTTGAAACAATGTATCCAGATGATCGTCCATGTGTGCCGACATTGTTCTCCTTATCTGTTCGACGAGCCACCTAATGTCTACGTCGTCCACCAGCCGGTCCCCATAGACTCGTAGCACCTCATGCACCCATAGACGTTTCAAACCCACCTTGAAATGTTAAATCGTGCTGAAGATTCTATAATTTTCGTCCAATTCATTTCTAAGTAAAATTAAATAATTTTAAATTAAGCAAATGAGAAGAGACCCACAAATTGTTTCGTTAAGAATCAGGTCTTTCGAATTCCTGGGAGACATTTTCGAAAGTGTTCTCCTCAGAAAAGAATGAATTTTGAATTCGTAAATCACTTCAAGATCACCTAAGAGCGTTTCAATATTATTTGAATATTATATAAGGACACTTCAAGGTCGTTCGAAGATCGTTAGTGTTTAGTGTTGCGATGGTCATTACAATCACTCACCACGAAACTTTACAATAAAATATTACATGAAAAAATATCCTTATAAACGTTAAACTCCATAAATGAAAACAAAATTGATACTCGTGAGACTTTTGTGGCTTTCATTGCCTGGATTGCTTGAATTCCTGTTTGAGGCTTCCAGGTTTGAACAGTGTCCGAAGTTTATCGAATTCCGACGTGACTCTAACATTGCAATTAGCTTCATCAAGGTACAGAGACACTCTGATATTGCCAAAACCCGGAAGCTTCAAGTAACAATTCGAAAAAATGAATACATACAGGATCAGAAACAGTCTCAGGAGCAGACAGCAACACGCCCTGTATCACTCTCGAAAAATCTCTTAAGTTGAATAAGTAGTGACACTTGGCTGGTGTGGGCAGAAGGTGTTTCCTGATCTCCTTGTAAACGCTCAGCGTGCCGTTTACTATGTACTCGGTGCTGAACATAAAAATATCCGAAAACTCCTTGACCCTAAAGTGCCAAGTGACGATCGCAGTGAAGATCGTGGTGAGCACTTCGTCAGAGAACTCAGAAATGCCCAAAGTGAAGAAGTGTCTCTTGAAACGTGGCGTAACGTCCAATCCGCTTGACGGTGGACCCATAGCGCAGACCAGCTGAACATCCACCAACTCTATAGGCGCCACTTCCTTGACATCGTACCAAGTCCAATGATCCAACCACTGCCTGAGCAATTCTATAGGTGGCTGTGCGCCGTACTCCTCTTTCTGAGGCATAGAAATGTCATCCACGAAGACCACCCAATGTTTCCCAGGCGGAGCACCGTACAATCCCTTCCTACGTCTGTCCAACTTGCTCATGATGATCTCTTGAGTCTGATTCGCGGTTGTCTGAGCGGAGAATATCACGAAGAGCGGCTTGAAGATATCTGGATCGATTTTCTTCAACAAAAATTCCATGATATACACGGATTTCCCGGTACCAGTTGGACCGACCAATAGGACAGGTTTTTGGTGACAGATTAATAGTTTGAACAGGTGAAAATAGCGAACAGTTTCAATGGTTGGAACGATTATCTGATTGACTGGCACGTCTTTGGGAATTGGAGGAACGTCTTGTAAATCATCCATCCAAGGCCTCCATTTGCCTCTACCCTCTTTGATGTATTTATAGTCGAATACTAGGCCTGTTAATGGCAAGTTCACCACGTACGGCTTCGGTGGATCCGTGGTTTCCGGTGAAACGTCGAAACGTTCTCTGATATCTTCGGGGAATTCTCTCTCGGTTAATGCTCTGAACAGATCGCTAAACGGTTCGCGGGAATCTACTGTTAATGTGCCGCCCATCGCCCAAATACAAGAGAAGAAGAAGCAACCCTGAAATAAAAATCGTCATTCGGTGTGAATTTTGTTGGAAGTATCAGAAAAAATGTTGGAAGCTTTGAGTCAAAGTTTTTTCTACCTCCACTTGTGCCCTCATGTCAAGGTCTGACAAGGTTTGAAGGTACTTTTCGTCGTGGAAGTCGTCCAGGAAACAGTCGAACAGATACGTTATGGATCTAAGTAGATTGGCATCGGGCATGGTCATCAATTCCTGAGGAAAAGTATCGAAGAAATATGGGATAAACTAGTATCGCTTCAAGAATTTCTAAATATTTTAAAACGAAGTGAAAAATTATCGCATTAAAATATTCAGAGTAACAAATTAGCTCCGAGAGTATTCTATAGTAAAATAATATGTTAATCCTAATTAGGTGATTCTAAACATTTAGCTGACTATCTACGAGGGATATCTTACGAACCTTGACCTTCCATCGAAGCAGTTCCAAAAGAGGAGGACAAAACCTCATGTACATGTCGTTTAAATGGTTCTTAAGGTGTTCGGAAAAAGTGGATGGCAAGGTATTCAACCAGGAGATCAAAAGTGGCGTCCAGCCCAAACTGACTGGTTCCATGTAAATCATGCCGCATCTGGACACTGTGGCTGGTGAAGCAACCTACAGTATTAATAAAAAAAATCCTCGTTGATATGAGATCAACAAAAAAAAGTCTATTTTACAACATCGAATGCAAAGAAAATACAATAGGTTCTGAATAGCTTATTGAAATGATTTTGAATAACTAAGATATGCATCAAGGCTGCATCAAAGAACCCTGCAAAGCATTATTTCGCATTTAGATTTTACCATTTGATGGTAGATATTTAACTAGAAGCACTTCTTAACATAATACCATTACGACTTTCGTATAAGCGTTACCATTTTTTGTAAACACCCTGTGTACAATTTTCAGACGAACAGTATTATCCAAAATTCCCACGATAAAATCCTACCTCCAAGTCCATAGGCTCGAATATCAAATTCGTGGTAGGAGCCAGCTGAATAATTTCCCCAGAGGTCAAGCACAGCTTCTTATTATCATCCAACACAGTGTTCATGTTCTCGATCCAAATTGCATCAACTGGCCCATCGAACACCAGCCATTTCCTGTTCAAATTAGTAGAAGACGCAAACGACCTATAGCTCACAGCTAACACACCATCGCTCCATTCGTGCGAAGCAGGATCGAATTGACCGTACAATTGACCCATGGTGATCGCCTTTGGATTGATAACAGTTATCTCGACTCTGTGCTCTTCCATCAAATTCCTCTCCTCCAACAGCGCCAGACAATCGGCCAGCATCCTGTACGCGGATGTTTTACCACCGAAAGGTAGTCCAACGATCATGAACCCGTGCCTGACGATCATCATTTCATAGATCTGTTGTATCTTCTCCAAGAAGAAATTTGTACATTGAATATTAGCTGCGACGCAAGCTTCCCCTATGCAAGCGTTCAAATGAGTATAATCTGGCGTAGGAAGAACGACACCGGGGAACAAGTCTGAAGCAATTCCCTCGAAAAGTGGTAAATCGTGAACGAGAAACTTCGGCAGGTTCACGTCTAATATACTCCTCAGCATTAGAATATCTTCAGATTCTTCGGGATACCTGAGCTTCAAGTTACCAGCCGCGATGAGGACAGACTTGACGGCCCTCATACCGTAATCATAGTGATGCTGGCTGCTCAATTGTTCGGAACAGAGTCTGTAAGCAGTGACTATCTTCACTGCGAGAGGTCTGCCGTTGTAGAAGCCGTAGGAATACAAAGTATTCTCCGCGATCAAAGCGTAATCCGGGACCATCATGGCTACTGGACGGAACAATGCCTTTAGATTGTCCGGTAACTCGGATCTACCGGCGTAGCCAGGATTCATAGTGATGAAAATAGCGCAACTCGGGTCTAGGAAAATCTCCGTTCCCTCGAACACCATTTTCTCTGCGCCGCTGTTGATCCCTCGTTGAATTGTCAGGATCTGTTGTGCAACCACTGACAACACTTCCAAATCGATACGATTGAACTCGTCGAAGCAGGACCATGCGCCACAGGATGCTAATCCTTTGAAGAATTTCCCTAAGGCGATGTAATCTAAGCCTTCAGAGCAGTTGAACACGACGCACTGTTTGGCTACTGCTTTAGCCAGATCCTTCGTGGTCTCAGTTTTGCCAGTTCCAGCTGGTCCCTCTGGCGCACCGCCTAAATGAAGGCTCAGAGCACCGAATAGAGTTCTGTAGCATCGATCTGTCAGAGGTGTGATGACCAATCTTGATGAATTACCAAGGTACTCGTAACCGTATCGTTGGTAAGAGTTGATCATGTACGCCCACATGTTCTCCTCCTAGACAAAGGAATATTTTTGTGGGAATGGTAGAATTTTTCGGACAAGTCTTTAGACCAGAACGATAAATGTAAAACGGTTAGATCAGAGCTGATAGTTAAGAATTGATAGTTGATAGAGGGAGAGTATCTGAGAATTTTGAGAAAGAATACTTAATCAATCTTTGCTTTGTATATTTGCTTTGTTATATTAATATTAAAATATGTGATCGTTTTGATGATAATTCTACGGTTAAGTGATTTCTGTCAATGAAAAAGTGAATCTGACCAGCCAGTAGTAACGCAAATGGCACAGCCATCTGAAGTCAGTATTCTTGATCACTTTGTCCTTGCAAATCTTTGACAGTACGTCTTTTCCGTGAACGTCCAAGGTAACCAGAGCTTCTACGAATGTAAAAGAATTTATTAGGTTTTTTTCACCAACCCAGAAGCACTTAATCAATTTGACAATTACCCAACGTGATACGATTCTGTTTCGATAATTTCCCTCTGATGAGCAATATGATCTCGTTCAACTCCGTCGTACACTGATCGAAGTATCTCCACAGACCTTCCTCACCGAACAACATTGACTCCTCTATACGTAGAGTCCAGTACATCTTTCCAACGCAAAGAATCGTTTGGCCAGGCCACTCTAACACCCAGATTTTCCTCTGTTTCATAGGATACGCGTCTATCGCGTGCTTCACCTCGTGCTTCACACTTCTTCGCATAATCGTCTCTAGTTCAACTAGCCATTTCTCCACTTGTCCTCTGGCAGATGCTGTCGATATTACATCCACCAATGGAACCTCTTCGCCCTCCGTTGATCTCATCGCGAGCACCTCTAGGTCCTCGTTGAACTTCAAAGTACTTATTCCCTCGAAACACTTCTTCAGATGCGGTTGAACGCTGAGAAAACAGCATTGGAACACGATAAGATCCGGAAATGAAGCTTTCAGTGGAAGAAATAGGATATTAGAAGGTGTACACACTCTTCGATGTAGTTAACGATATCTGAAAAGCTCATCCCATTAAAAAAATCACAAAATGTTTACCATTTGAATACATCAATTTCCTTTTCTTCTTTTTTTTTAACAAAGATCGAATTTTACTTTAAAAAATATGGTAATAAATATGAATTCTTTCCTACGGCCGATGTATTTCCACGAGAATAGAGCGTATTAATTGGTTCTTTTTCCCAATCATTACCGAGTTGGATCTTTAGTTTCAGACAGAATTTCCAGCAGCTCGTCGTTGGACAAAAAGAAGAATCTCGGGAAGAAGAGACGCTTCTTCTCCAGGTAATCGTTCAGACCCTTCTGAATGTCCTCCAACAATCCGTAACTCTTCTTCAACCTCTCCAACATTTTATCGATCTCGATAACAGCGAGAACACGAGGATCAGTCTCGACGGTCTTCATGATATCCCGCCAAGTCTTGTCCACAGCGGAGAACTTTCTACCCTCGTCTGGCATTTGCTGCTGGATATCAGGCGACGTGAAAATCGGCTCCAGGTACATCCAGACCGCCTGAACGCGCAGCCATTGGTCCAGTATGTCTTGCAGCAGATGCATCTTGTACTCCCATCTCCTATTCGATGCAAATAAATCGTAAAATATTTACCATTCTTACAGTATGTCCCCAGGTGTGTCACGTTGAAAAATGTCAGCTCGTAAAAACGTCTCGTTCTACCTGTAAATATCTGTAAAAGCATGTCGAACGAGTTGTACAGGGTGTCTCGTCTAAATTATTTCAACCCGCTGTTGAAAGTAAGGGAACGAACTGATAATCGTCGATTTTTATGAAACTCGGGTATGTGGTAATTCTTGAAAGCATAATCGACACGTTTTGTTTTATATCGCCAATCGTTCACGGTGAAGGGGGTATACGTCGTCCTCAAAGTTTATGGTAATGAACATATCTGATCTAGTATCTCGACAAGTATCAGAGATAGAGAAAAGGTGTAAATTGAAGAATTTTGTATTTTTGAACGACAAATTTGACTGCGTAAATAGATTTGAAAAAAGTCCGTTTGTTTAAATAATATATTGAAAATTATTACCTTTTTCCGTGGAAAATATTTAATGATTCTCGTGTAAATTTGCGCGTGTGGTCTACACAGTCGGACACAAAATATGAATAAATCCGAATTTTCATATCTTGCAAATTAACAAAAATAATTATAAGAGTAGTATACAGGGTGAACCACAAAACGTGATCACCTTAAATTATTTTATAATCAGTGAACTGATCGAATGTTTTGATTCAAAGACGTCCCTTAAGATGATAACAGTATATTCTCCACAACTGTCAGACCGCAAGGAAGCTAAACCTGACACTCATAGAGTCAGGGACTACGTTTTCGAACCTCGCGCCCGCCTTTGTAGACTGACGAACGTAGGCAAGGACAGCCAATAAAGCATAAGCAAGAAACGTTAGTCAAGGCAACCAAGCGATTTAAATATCAGTAAAATGTAGGGTCGGCCTACCTCCACGAAAAAAAAAAATGTAGGGTCGATTCCACAAGTGTCAGTAAAATGTAGGGTCGATTCCACAAGTGTCAGTAAAATGTAGGGTCGATAGAAGCAGAAAAGCTGCTAAACATTAGAATTAAATGTAACGATAGAAATTATTGCAATAATTCGTAATGCAATTGAAAAGTTGAAGAAAAGTCTGATACAAATGTTTGAAAAGATTCTAGAGTATAAGAAAATTTGAATAAAATACGCGACGAGAATTGGGGAGAAGCATAAGTTAAACGCGTAAAAATATTCAATAATAAACGAACTAGGGATGAAGCTATTATTTCAATACGCGATGCACTGACTCTAGTATTTACTAAAATTCAAAAATTCTCGTATAAATTCCGAAAATAGATTATTAATTACGGTAAACTACTGAGACGGTTTAATTTAGGGTGGGCATAGTGCACGAGTGTAGTGCACTCGTTCCAAATCAGCTCACAATATACAATAATAAATCAACTAACTACTTAACATGCAATTCATGCAAATTCCTTGGATGGTAAATTATTAGTAAACAAAATTCAATATCAGAGAAAATATATGAAAAATTTTAAATTAATTTCAGTTGCTGGAAGAAAAGTACATATTGATTGTTATGCTGTAACGAAAAAGCAAACTCTTAACCTCTCAATTTCAATATCCTATTCGACAAGTCTGAAGAACAACGATGACTAAAATTCAAATGTTTATTTCCCTAAACCTTCAAAATAATTTCGAAATATTTTATTCGAAGCGGAGTATTCCAAGTCAGTATCGATAATTGAAGAAATTATTTGATTGTATTTAAAAGAACCGAAAGGAGAATATTTAAAGTCCGATATTAAATGTCTAGCAAGTACCAGTAATTGGTAAAATGATTTATATTTCTTTTAAAAGCTGGTAGTGTATTATTTTTGTTTTAATTGTGCTGGGATTTGTTGGTTTGTTAAGGGAGGATAATAGCGAATAACGTGTGAAATTTGAAAATGAGAGTAAATAGGAACGATTGGATAACGAAATTGGGAGAGTTAGAGAGAATGTGTGAACAGACGAGAAGAAGAGAGGTAAATGATCCAACATGAGAATGTAAGTGTATATTTTTCGGTAATTACTTTATAATTGCTTTATAATTACTTTATAATTACCGATTAGTGGAGAATATTGTTTACATGCAATGGAAGTTTACTGGTGATGTTTATAATTTCGAAAATTCAGGTAGAATTGTAAATATACTGTATCGTAATTCGAATTTAAGTAAATTAGGTTGAACTGCAGTACACAGACGTTACTTTAGCTTGAAATAAATTCGAAACATAGAATTCACAGAGAAAACACTGCGAAACAGCAAAACGTAAACGTTACAATTGTTATAACATGTAAGCAAAAATTTCAGAATTAATTATACGAGTATTTCTCATAAGATTACCGTTACAAGAATATTTCACGTTTATTAATAATTTTATAAGAATTAGGAATATTAATTCACTTTGTTAAAATGCAAAAACTAATAATTTTACAGCAAGTGTTAAGAATTAGGAGCAGCATTCGTTACAAGTTCCACAAGGATACTGAAAGAAAAATTTCAAATTAATTTCAATTGCTATTACGAAAAAGCAACCTCTCAAAGTAATTTCAATATCCTATTCGACAAGTCTGAAGAACAACGATGACTAAAATTCAAATGTTTATTTCCCTAAACCTTCAAAATAATTTCGAAATATTTTATTCGAAGCGGAGTATTCCAAGTCAGTATCGATAATTGAAGAAATTATTTGATTGTATTTAAAAGAACCGAAAGGAGAATATTTAAAGTCTGATATTAAATGTCTAGCAAGTACCAGTAATTGGTAAAATGATTTATATTTGTTTTAAAAGGAAAATTTCTAATAGGTATTAGTTAAAATGAATTGTTATTCAGTCTATTGTATTGAAATTCTAATTGATTCTAATGTATACAAGTGTTACAAGAAGGCTGAGTGTGTACAGGGTGGACACTGACTCTAGTATTTACTAAAATTCAAAAATTCTCGTATAAATTCCGAAAATAGATTATTAATTACGGTAAACTACTGAGACGGTTTAATTAAGGGTGGGCATGGTGCTGCTTTAGTTTGAAATGATTTATAAACACATAATTAACAGAGGAAAAACCGTGAAACGGCAAAACGTCTACATTCTAATTGTTATAACATGTAAACAGAACTTTAAATTTAGTGTAAACAGAAAAAATATATAATACAATTTATTTCACGGTATTGCAACAAATAAACGTTGAATCAATATTTAATTCGTATAAAAACAATTATTTAACGTAATAATTTTACCTTCACTATGGCTATTTTTAATCTACGACCACAGGTCAACCTGATTTCTAATCCTTACGAACTTTAAATTCAGTCTAAACTGAGAAAATATATAATACAATTTATTTCACGGTATTGCAACAAACAAACGTTGAATAGATTCTTAATTCGTATAGAAACATTTATTTAAAATAATAATTTCACCTTCACTATGGCTATTTTAAATTTACGACCAAGGGTCAACCTGATTTTTAATCCTCCGAACTTGATTTCACAACGAGAAAGTAATAAGATCGTTGAAACGTACTTATTTGTCAAAGAAACTTGCAAAAATGTATAAATAATAATATGTAATGTTTTAACAAATTTTTGGAAGTATAAATTAATAATAAAATTGTGAAAATTAATAAATTATACGTTATTATAACATTAATAGAATTATGACTAAACCGAAGTTCGAAGTCGAGTATTTAAAGTCTGATATTACGTGCCTAGCGAGTGCCGGTAATTGTTAAAATTTGTTTAATAATTAGTAATAGAAATTCTAATTGATTCTAATGTATACAAGTGTTACAAGAAGGCTGAGTGTGTACAGGGTGGACATAGACTAGCTAGTAGCCCCCGACCACTCTATTCACATCTCAGAACCTTCAGGTCAAAATACGCCGCGAAGTGTCTAGGGCCCAGTATAAAGGGTAAATGATTTCGCGGGACATCGGCGGGTCCTTATATACCTGCGGTACCCTCTCCCCAAAGTCATTAGCAAAATCGTCGGTTAGGTCAGGCGGGAAATTTTCGCGGGAGATTTTCGCGGGAGATTTCCGATATCGTAACACGGTATAATTTATCAATTTTCACAATTTTATTAAAAATTTATACTTCCGACAATTTGTTATAACATTGCATATAACAATTTATACGTTTTTACAATATTCTTCAATGGAAACATAGGTTTTAGCGTTCTCGTTACTTACTCGTGGTTAAATTAATTTCGTAGGGATTAAAAATCAGGTTGACCTGTGGTCGTAGATTAAAAATAACCATAGTACAGCTAAATTTATCGTGTTAAATAATTCTTCTTACACGAATGAAAAATGTATTCAACGTTTGCTTGTTACAATACCATGAAATAAATTATATTACACATTTTCTCTATTCACACTGAATTTAAAGATTATAACGATTAAAAATCAAGTTGACCTGTGGTCATTTATCAAGAATAATCATAATAAAGCTGAAATTATTGTGTTAAATAATTTTTTTAATACGAATTAGGAATTTATTCAACGTTTGCTTGTTACAATACCATGAAATAAATTATATTATACGTTTTCTATATTTACACTAAATTTATCGTTCTATTCTAACAAGCAAACGTTGAATAAATTCCTAATTCGTATTAAAAAAATTATTTAACACAATAATTTCAGCTTTATTATGATTATTCTTGATAAATGACCACAGGTCAACTTGATTTTTAATCGTTATAATCTTTAAATTCAGTGTGAATAGAGAAAATGTGTAATATAATTCATTTCACGACACTAAAACAAACAAACGTTGAAAATCTCGTAAAGGAAACCGACTGGTGTAGCGTTACACGCTTGACTGACTGCGAGCGAGATAACATGGGCGCAGCAATGACGCAGACCTAGGCGTAGGACCATCTATACTGTCACTTGTAGAGTCCAAACTTCCTGACTCTTGTAGAGAATTTACTGTATACTATACCTTTTATCAGTTGTCTCTTTCTTTCGAAAATTTTGAAGTCACCTTCAGTTTTTTGCAAATAGATAGAGATCTATGGTAGAAAGAAGTTGACCTGGAAATTTTAAAAGAAAAATAACTGATAAAAAGTATTCTACGATTATCTTACGAGTCCCTTTAAACCATATTACGTACGATATAAAATAACTTTAGATCGATCCATTAATAAGAGAATAATTTAAGGTGATCGCGTTACGCGGTTCACCTTGAATGTACTGATGGTCTGAGGACATATACTACATTTACGAGGAAGCATTTTCAATTTTCACCGGTCCGCTTACAGTATCCTCGCTTCGAACGGCTTTATGTTCGGAGAATTCTTAATGGTGACCGTTTTGATGATATGGTCGTCCAAAAGAAGCTGTATATCATCGACACCGGCGATCACAAAGGTACCAGTGTCCTTGAAAGGGTTCACAGTGAAGGCTAAATCAGTCCAATCCTTCTGCATCTTGTCCATAGCCCTCTCCAGGGTGCTCTCTTTCGAAGCGCTGTCCGAGATGCTCTCGAACTTCTCCACGAACAGGTCCAGTCCCATATCCAGGATCCTGGCCAATGTTAAATCAGCGTCGACCTTTATAGGGACTCCTATGATCGCCGAAATTTCATCCCAGTGACGAGCCTTTAATCCCGGATTACCCAGAGTAAAAACGATCGGCATGCGCTCCCTGAACTCTTCGATTTTCTCCCTCACGTTCCCTGCCAGCTCTTTCAAATCCGGCTCTTGGAAGGCTTTCTCCAGCTTGTAGATCGTTCTACTCGTGCAAACAATTTTTATTAATCGTTATTTGCCAGAAGAATTGATCAGTAGGAAGAAACGAAGGATCGTTATTCCGTTTCGTTTCTCAAATTTCTTTTCAACGAGAAAGCAACTAATTTACTTTAAGGAAAAAATCACATTCTTGCAAATTTACTTCACACCACTGTAAACGAAAATCAAAAAGCTATAGAATCCTGATTTACTGGAACATATTTTTAAATTATCTCTTGGAGGAAGTGTTGGAGGAAGGTTTGATCATCAATTTAGCTGCAAATCAATTTTATCATTTTCCCGAAAATAAAGTGCAGTGAAATCTTCAGTGTCGACTATTATATCGCTGGAAACATTAACGTAAAGAAAGGAGCCTGTTCTCTTTCGAAATAATACAAATGAAAAATTTTCTTAAGAAATCATTTTTCTTCAAAAATCATAAACTTAATTCGAAAAGTACGATCAACCTGTACGCGTATCCCACGTCATTATCAATATCCTCCGGATTATAACTGCCGATCATCGTGTTTATCCACAAGTCGTGTTTGGTCAGAAAGTCGCAGATCGCGTCGAAGAGTTGCTTATAGGGTTTCAGGTGATCTGCGATCTGCTTGCGACGAGGATACTGTGTGATGTCCCAGCCAAACGACGTTTCCTCTTCGTTGAACTTATCAATCTTCTCCATGGCGGCAATCAAACGGTTCTCCAAATTCTGCGTCCTTTTCTGATACTTGTGAACATCCTCGATGTCACCCCAATATTGTATCTCATCCACTTGCTTAGCGTAAGATTCTAACTCTTCCTCGAACCTGACATATCTGACTGTTTGAAGACAAGAACGTTTCAATTAACATCCCTCGAATATTTCCCCTTTCTCTTCTTTTTCATCAAATCACCTTTTAACGCCTGCTGAAACTCTATAGTCTTATTCGCAACGATCACTTCGTTTTCCTCCAATATTTGAGGGACCTTGTGGTACCATTGGAACGCTATGTTATTTGTGCTTATTTCGACATCCGTGAGACAACGATAATCAGATAAGAGAAGGATATGCACGATTATTTCGCAAAGATCCTGCTCGAGATTCTTCAAAGAGACGTCTATGACCGTTTTCATGAAGCTTTTAAGGTCCATCAGCTCGGCCGTGTTGGCAGGTGCGCTCAGCGCACGATCAGATATAGCCTGATACTCTTCTGCAGCTCTAAACCGGTGCTCGTCATTATCAATCACGCGAATAAATTCATTCGCGATGGTTAACACGTTCACTGTCCATTGAACCGTACATGACTTAAGACACTTTCAACCTGGCCACGTACGCGCAGCTATCCTTGAAAGCCGGGATAATTTGTTATTTCTTTCGACGATTAAGTTGAAAGGAGAATCCAGTTCGACAGCCCGAATGATAAGTGATATTTAACAATTTTTTTTCGATAATCTAGTTAAGATATCGCGATAATTCTTTTTTCCGTTGAAAGGTGCATCCTTGGATTAGGATAAAAAAATTGTGTTCAATTTTCAATGTTGCTATTGTAAATTTTATACTTCGAGCTAGCACAGTCTGCAATGCATTGTTAGCGTGCAGCCTAGCATTTGTCAAAGTGATTCGAAAACGAAAAATTTCAAATATTATCGTCCTTTGATGGTTTATGCTAGGATTGAACCGACTTATAACAAAAGAAAAGTGAAAGTTTTGAAGAAAAGTCAGTTTGTATACCAAAGAAATCGGTTTTATATTGCTTATAAGAACATTCTAAATAGAGATAAAATACTGATTGTCGATTCAATCTCTGAATGGACATTGTCTGAAATTGGTCGGTCGATTAAATTTTCAGTTATCCTGCGCGCCAACTTGAAAAACATGATTTCGAAGGAACCGCGTTTAAAGTTGGAGCTTTGCTTGCAACCTCGTTATTTTCATGAATTCGTCTTTAATATTAGTAGGAGCATATTTTTGAAATTTTGTACCTTCAATTCGTGCAGAAAAAAAAGGAATCAATTCTTTGTTACTTTCGAATTGGACTCACCCGTTAAGTTAACTTTGCACTTATACCTACTTGGACAATGAACGTGTTAATACATTACCAACCAAGCGAATTGCAATTGAACAGATATCTAAGATTGCTAAAACGAAGTCCAGAAGTACTGACAACGAATTCTACGTTTGGAAGATTGATAATGTAAAATTTGAACGATGACTCATCGCACCACACGATATTATGGGAAAAAGTTTCTTCAAATAGCATATAAAAATGAAACATCGTTCGTTGTAAATAATACAATACTATACCACATCGGTTGGCAATGTGTTGAGATAACAAGACACTCACTTTTTGGCTGTGTCCTGATATCTGTCCACGAGCGTATCAGTGAGCAGAGATTTTATACGACGAACATTGGCGACGATCGCCTCAACGAATATTTTTCGAGACACCTTGAACAATCCTGTGAACGCTGTCCTCTCGATTTGAACAGGCAAGTTCAACACTTGTTCCTCGTAACATCTCATCGCTTCGTTATAATCGTCCAACTTTTTATTCTCGTCCTTTACATACCGTTCTATCATTTTGTACTCCTCGTCGTTGTACAAATGCTCGTACCTACGATAAATGGGTAATGCAAAAAGAAAATTAAAACTGTATAGAAGAATTAACGAGCGGATAATTACATTTGCAGATCCATTAATATCTGCTCAGGGATAATCCTTTCTCGATCGATCAGGTCGATAATTTCCCGCTTCAGTTTCTCCACTATAGATTCGTCTATCTGAGGCTGTGCGCAGAAGAGAACGCAAGTGCAATTTTCGCAATCCGAAATGCAGATACAGAATAGAATGTGTGACACGGAAGAGAGATATTACGAACTTTCAAAATCTCCTCCGGGCCAGACCAGTCCAAGTAAAGCTGAGTCTGTAATTTATGAAAACGCCTAATGGCCTGGCATATCTCGTCCAGGAGACCGCAAAGGACCTCTTTAAATTCTTCAAAGGACGGCGAAAAAGTGAGCTGATTCGAGCTGACGACTATGTCCACGTTAAATTCGCAATCGATCGGCTGCAAACCACGAACAATCGCCTCTATCGTTTACTCGTGTCTTGCACTCTAACCCTTTCGTGACCAGTGGGACGTGTTACGCCCCTACTCGAGTACTCGAACAAAAATTCATATCTCTGTTTAATAATCCGTTAGAGACACGACGAACGGTCTGATAAACGGGATAACTAAGAAATGTGAAAAAAAAAAAAAGATAACGGTGACGATAATTCGGTCACGAAAGAGTTAAACGGCTCACCTGGCCGCGGATGATCAAATCCATGAAATCTCTCAGGGTCCATTTACACATAGCCAGAAGCTGGGACTCCATTATTTTGGCAATGCAGTCGTAGAAACCCTTGAATCGTGTGCGCTGCAGTGGACTCGGGACTAATTGCTTCCTATTATTCTGCAAACGGACGAGTCCGCGGATTCAATTGAAACGTTAAAAGCGAATATCAAACTGTACAAAGTTAATGGAACAATTATCACCGCTTTACCACCAGGAATATGTCCTGTATACCGCTGTACCAAGAATCCCTCAAGACTTTCCGCGCTTTCACAATGTGCTTGTGGATCGTTTTCTCAAATTCCAACAAGTCCCAGGACCTCTCGTGTTCCGCGATTTGCTTCAGATCGAACAGCCGAAAATCACTGAGAAAGAATTGATATAAGAGTCTTAGGGGGTTGTGCATCTCGTCCCTAAGTCTCCTACAGATAAGTAAATTTTGGGAATTCTTTTTTCGTAGGTGACTGCTAAGTGAAAAGCTTCAATTTCTTCGGAGGATGTAAAAGTAACTTTCAACTGTTTTCTTCAATTCTTACGAAGTAAAGATAGTGCAAAATGGAGGAGTTACACGGTAATTGCGAAACCTCTTCTCGATTGCTGGCCGCCATTGCTGGCAAGAATTTGGAACGTCTGAAATAAAAAATTCTTGTTGATTTACAAGTAAAAATGTATTACCTACAATGTAGGATACGATTCTTTTCGATGTCTCTATTGTTTAATTTTTTTAGAAACGTTTGAAGTTGATTTCTCTTGGCAAAAAGTGGTTTTTCCCCTTCAAACCGTCACCATTTCTATGGTAGTTACAATTTTCAAAAAATCATAGGCTACGTTGGAGATGATACATTTTTATTTATTATTCAAAAAGAATTTTTTATTTCAGACGTTCCAATCCTTGCCAGCGATGGTGGCCAGCAGTCGAAAAATGGTCTCACGATTACCGAATAACTCCTTCATTTTGTAACATTTTTACTGTTTAAAAATTGGCGAAAAAAGCTGTAAGTTATGTTTATATGCTCTGAAAAAAATGGAAACTTTTCATTTAGTAGTTGCCTATAAAAAAAATTCCCAACCTTTACTTATTTCCAGAAGCTTCAGAGCAGTGTACCCCCTCAAGGTAAAGATAACCTATGCGATACAGGGTATCTCACTTGTAACGAACGTCTAAATTACTTTCGTTGCCATTCGAAGTAAGGAAAAAATGTCGCAAGAAGAGTTTATACGATTCGAGTTCCCCCCAAAGTCGTCTTTTGTCGTATTAACGTCTTACAATGACTTTGAACAATGTAAAGACCTTGGAATGACCTTGAAGATGACCTTGGAGGAACATTGTTTTTTCAATAGCAACGGAAATAATTTGGATGTTCGTTAGAAGTGAGACACCCTGTATATGAGCGATTACTTACCGAAAATTGCCAACCCAATGTTCCAAGCTCATCCTCATGCAAGGGTTTATAAGATACAAAATTTGACGTAAAGTTTCACGGTTCCCTTGAACAGCGGCTGATAAACCGGGTAAACTACGCTTTATCTTAAGTAAGTTTTGAGTGGTCTTTTCCTGTTTTCCGGTTATTAAATATACGTTATAACGTGTGTATATGTGAAATAAAACATGAGAAATGTAATCGAAAGGTTCAATCGACGATTCAAACCTGGGAAAGATAATCTTCCATGGGATCTCGAAGCGCGTACTCCAATATCGCTTTTTTAATATTTTCCGTGAAGATAGCTTTGATCTCGAACAGCAAGCCTTCGGTGAGGTACTCAAATCGTCCTCTCAAATGGGACGGGACTAAGCTCAGTATCATCCGCAAAATGTCATCTTGAATTTTTACCGCGTGAACGGTATCGACCCCGTTGCAAATATAATTGTAATATCGGTTCACGTCTTTGTCATTATTCAGATCTATATTTACACCCGGTAACTCGGTCTTCGCGATTAAGCCGACCATGAATCTGAGAACAGAGATCTTTTTACCCCTCTTTTACCACTTTTTTCCCTATATAATTAGGGAATAAATTAAAACCGACGGAATTATTTGCCAACCTGCGAAAGTCTTCTACTTTTAATCGCTTCTCTGTATATGTCTCTCTAAGGTTTCGTTTTCTTCGTTTCTCGTGTTTCCTCTCGCACAGAATACATTTCATTAATTCCGCTGGTAAAGAAAATAACGGCTCGATTTTCCTGTCGATTACGTTTGATATCTTCTGAACAGGTTTGGCGCGTTCTTTTTGAACCACCGGATGCGGGATACCCTCGCATGATGTCACTTCCTCACAGTCGCATTCCATATTGAAAGTACGCTAGAGCGGACCTTTAAAAAGTTCGAAATATGTTACGTGTAAAATCAAATTGCATCGTAACATGAAAGTATAATTAATGTATCAGTGTGATATTTAGGTTGATAGATTGAGAATTGAATAATGAAACGTCGTGAAAAGAATTGATGTTTTATACTACCTTGCGATCGAATTTTTTATCGTCACAGAAGGCGCCACTTTCGGACTACGACTTTGATGATTGAGTTACATCTACGTTTTTCAAACGTATATACAGTAAGTATATTCCAAAACGATCTCTCTTTCTATGAATTAAATGTTCTATTGAAAAAGTCACTGTACGGTGTTTGAAAAAACAACACGCTGAAGATACTTTTTTTATATGTTCAGTGTCATTAGATTACGAATAGAGCGATACTCGTGACTGCAATTGACTGTAGTTTCTAGGCAACGAAATTGATCGGTCTCTAAGGGTTTGTATAAATTTTGAATGAAAATGTTCTTTTCAGATAATATAATTGTAACATTATTTCATCCAACTGAGATATTAGTCAAACTAAGGCTGAGACATTTTTAGGTTAGGTCTCAGTAATACCATAAAAGGCTATTACTCTGTTTTTGCATAAAGTAACGCATGTTGCATGTTTCAGATGATTCCACGTCAATTATTTCGTTCGATACATACAAATTATGTACTTTGCAATGCATCAAAAAAATCATTATTAAGCAAATTACGTAAGAAGACTGGATATACATTTGTAAATTGTAAAAAAGCTTTAGAAGTAAATGACAATGATGTAGAAAAGGTAAGGGGTGTAATTAAACAGTTGTCTCTATAAGAGCATTGTTAATTTGTTTAATATTTAAGGCTGAACAATGGCTAAATGATCAAGCTCAAAGTGAAGGTTGGACTCAAGCAATAAAATTACAATCCAGATTGACTTCCCAAGGATTAATAGCAATGGTCACCAATAACAGTCATGGAGCACTTGTGGAAATTAATTGTGAAACAGACTTTGTTGCTAGAAATAAAAAGTTCCATGATCTAGCAGAGATTATACTTTCCACTGTATTGAAATATGGAACAACAATTGAACAGAATTCCTTGATCAACAAAACCATGTTATGCCCAGAATTGATAAATAAATTGTGTGCTAATGATGGTAAAAGTTTAAGTGATCATTCTGCTTTAACAATAGGAAGCGTTGGAGAAAATATTAATATAAGACGTGCATTATGCATGAGTGTACAACCAGATGTACATTTATATGGTTGTACTCATCCCAGTCCTATTAATCCAGTACCATCATCTTTTGGACGATATGGAGCACTGGTTGCTTTAAAATCTAACAAAAAGAAAGAGGTTCTAGGAATGCAACTTTGTCAACATATTATTGGTAATTAAACTTGTCCTTATGTTAGTATACTATATATTTTTTCTGTAAAAACATGCAGGTTTTCTATAATAATACATGCTTTGATATTAGGTATGAATCCAGTGAAAGTTGGTGATGCAAAAATTGATGAACCATTTGATAACACAGATGATGAACCTGTTATGCTGTATCAAGAATTCTTGCTTGATCCTTCTTTGTCTATACAGCAATTATTGCAAAATGAACAGATTGAAGTCTTAGATTTCGCACGTTTCGAAATGGGTGAATTCCTTGAAAACAAAGAAATGTTGAATTCTGTAGAAACTTGTGGTTAAAACAAATAATATTCGTTCCATCCATGATTATATTTATCACATCTGAATTTTATACATATGAACTCAGAACGAAACTTCCTATAGTAAAAAAGAATATAATCACTTTACTTGTCTATTGTTCCGTTCTAAATAGAGTACCGAAACTGTTGCATTTCCTTATTACGCAAAGTCAAAAAATAATATAACGTATATGCTATAAAATTATTATAATATTTTATTAACATATAACTGCCACGCTGGTCCGTAGGGACCAAAACGAGACTTTCCGTTTACGCTACCTCGATCTATGGTACAGTTTCGTTCTCTAAGCAGACCATATCAAAGATTTTCAAAATTGTTTTGTCTACACAATTTACAATGTTGTCAAATTTAGAAAGTGATACATCCACTGAATTAATTTCATAGAAAATCGGCAAAAAATTTAACAAAAAGAGTAGTAACTTATTGTAACATGTGGAAAGGAAACCCGCATCTTTGTTTAAATTGTTTTAAAATAATATAAAATAATATAATATAATATAAAATATTATATTTTCTATTTAATACCTTTAGTTAAGGGTCAGACCGGTGCGGCAGCCTAACTTAAAGCAAAAATCAACCGCCGGTCTACATAGACCGGCGTAGCGTAAACGAAAAGTCTCGTGCCGGTCCCTAGGGACCGGCGTGGCAGTTAACGTGTTAATAAATGTATTATTCAATGGAACATACACGTATTAAAAAGTAAAGTCGGTTTAAAACAACAATAAGAACGCTAAAAACGGTAATCTAAATGTAAAGAATTTTGCGCTCACAAATAAGTAGCATTCAAATTATTGCTTTTCTTCCGTCTCTTTATTTACTATGCACATATCATTAGGGGGTTTACATTTGTTCATTCTTCGCGTAAGTTTTACGGACTTCCAAAGCCACATTCGCGAATCCTTTTTCCAATAACGGGCAATATCTTCTGGTGAATGCATGACACCCTAAAATATTCAACTGTAAACATCAATGTATTATATACCGCTAAATATCAAAGACCCTATGAATCCTACTTGAAAGTTCAAAATGTTAGAATGTTGAACAGTCTTTCTGTAAGACAATATGTCTCTAGCATTCAAGCCAAACAATTCTTGGTCAATATCGTCAGATGGTTCGGTTTGAGCGTCGCTCGTTCGACGAAGCGGTATCGTCTCATTTTTAAATTCAATTTCCGCTTCCAATTCAAGACGTTCGAGAGCCGACGTAAAACTCCTCGACTCCTTACAATTGCCAAAGTTCGCCTGTTCTTGAAATATTATAGATTCGAATGTGGGAAAGAACAACATCATTTATAAGTCTGTTACAAATAAAGAAATATCACGATGCCAAACAAAACTGTATGAAACCTGTACTCCTTGAGAACAAACATTGCATCCTAGAGCTCCTGACAGATATATATCGCTCATAGTTTTGGATAAAAAGTTCCTCTCGTCCCACGCGAAATTTTCAACTACTCGCAAAAGAAGAGAAAACACGATTTAAGTATATCTAAACGAACAGAGGAGTACAAAATGTACGAGAAACAGTGACAAACCGCTAGAATGGTCGGACTCGTCATTTCTCCAGTCCATCAGCTTCTCCGCAACGCCATAAAAAAATCAACTCGAAAAAACGTCTGATGCCCGTTTTAAAATTGGCCGACAGACATCGATTCCATCGTTTCCATCAGCGCACAGAGAAACAACGCCCTCCGGCAACATTATAATAAATGAGCAGCCTTCGTGCGGCTGTTCACGCGTCACCGCTAATACATTAGGCGGCGATGAATTATAGCCTCATGTTATTTACTTCGTTGACAGGCACGTAACAAATTATAAATCACGCTATTATCCATTTACAAACAAATTACTTGAGAAAGCAAGATATGAAACACTTGATCGTGAATAAAAAGTAATATAAATAATTTATACCGTGCATAAGGAGCGTAACGATCGCGATTCTCTTAGCCGCCACGCCGTTGATCTTCCAAGAAGTGAATGTAAGGGAAGCGTACTTAATCATGATCGTTACGTCGTCTCCGTTATTCGAGCGAAGACAACCGACGTTGTGAGAGGAAGAAAAAGGAAAAAAAACGAGATCGGGAATAGGGGACCTTCGTGGCGTAGAATGATGACGTTAGAAAGGTATGTATATACACAGAACAGGTGCGCTCGAGCGAGATGCGTGTACCCCAGAAACGATGCCCGCATGGCTGAAAACGCATGTATTCACCAAGTATACCCGTTGGTCACGGGTGGCCGGCCGGGGTTCCGGGCCGACTTCCGGACGAGTCCGCACCGGTACGGTTTCTTTTTTAAGCGAGGAACGCATGATATCAGTTGTGCCCGCATACAGTTAGACGGTGTTACACCTCGCGGCGAACAGCCTTCTCTTCTGCTCCTTTGCGCATATCGTTCCTCTCGTACGAGAACGTTCCTTCAAATGACGTGACGGGAAAAAGCACAGGGAAAGAAGAACGAGATGGATTTCTCTAGACGGGTGAGTCTGCATAGAAGCGTAACTATGCGAACACGATTTTTCTCTCTTCTTTCCGTGTTTCTTTCTCTTCTAACGAAGTGAACTATATGTATTCCAACGCTATATTTCATAACACCTTTGCGCAACGACTGTATCCCAGTTTTTAGATGTGACCATTTATGATACAAAAAAGAGATACACTTTTAGTGATACATATTTTACTGTTGCACCTTTCTTGGAAAAGTCTTACGCATTTTACAATTCCTTTCGTTATCGTGTAATATTTTTTAATTGCATCACTGATGAAAAACGTGGGTTATTTGAAAAGTGGCAGTAGAAGTTCTGAAATTTTTGTCGTATAAATAAGTGTAGCATATCAAATCATTCTTCTACGTACTAACAATTGATCAGCAGCTAATTCGAATGCAAATTTTTCAACTAAACAAAAATCAAAGTATAAGTACGATTTATCGCTACATCCACATTATTCGCCAGATTTAGCTGCCTCTAAATTCCTTCTATTCTCACGGTTGAAAAAATTCCTGGTAGAAAAAAATTCTTGTTAAAGAAGGAAGTTTAAGGAAGCTGTTGATGAATATTTAACCTGGTCTTGACGAACCGGAATTTCGTGATAGTATAAGACTTCGAAACATCGTTGGTCAAGTGCATTGATGTTAAAGGGGATTATATAAAAAAATTATTTGAAAACGATGTAAACCAGTCCATTCATTCCATTTCGAGAACTTTTCAAATGACTTGTGTATTATTTCATAGTGTATTATCTGTAAAAGAAAAGAAAAGATTCCTACGTAAAAAATTTCTGACAATTTCATCGAGTCGTGCAACCACGAATTTTCACCTCTTCGTGAGACCGTGGAAGGATTGGCGAACACAGGTTGGTGGGCGTGCAGCAAGTGCAGTCACCACTTCCTGCCGCAAATGATCGTCGCGGACGACGTTCGAGCAACACGTGTATACACGCGTATTCCGTTCATAACGTGCGTGTGTCGTGGCAACGGGCGGGCGTGGGCATGAATGAACGCGGAGATGCATCCGCAAAGACAATAGCATACACGCCTGTGTGCACTTTGCATTACCTACACCGATGCGCAGGTTCATGCACTAACGGCAATCGGCGCACAGCCGGAGGTACCAGTCACGTTACGTCATCGGTGTTGAAATATTTATATCTAAGGCAGGACAACGCTCGACGAATAGATCTGTGAAAAGCGTAGAACAATTAACGTTTGAAACCGGTTGTCAGTGGCGGAAAGTTGTTCGAAAAAAACGATCACGCGACGAGGAAAAGGAATAGGAAAGAAACGAATCGAGATATTCATGGCGATGCATGGAATTTGTAGGTTAGTTCAACAACAATGTATAATTTCTGGCGGTTTCAAGGATATGTTGAGAAGGGGAACTTTTCATCCTCTGCTGCCGATTAACCGTCGAAGCTACATTATGAATCTCTTTCTTTTCCACTTAAACTGTACCATCACGTCTACACGGCTATTTCTACGGATATGAAAACAATATACACGTCCGTTTTCTCTGTAACACTTATCCCTAGTCACATCCTGTTCGGGTAGAAACATCATCATCCGCCGTGAAAAAGAACACGGCAATTAATTTCTGATAAAGCTGATGGTTATTTCGCGAATTATATTTTTACGCTGTTCAGTTGCGCCTGTGAACGTGTAAACAGAGACCTGGCCTCGTACAGTTGCACTCATATACTTATGTGAGCGCATATGTACGCGCGATCGCGGATCACCTGCGATTAAGTCCTTCCGAGGACCTCGCTCTCGTGAGTTCTCATACCCTAGTTTTCTGCCGGTAACCGTTCGGTACGATCGCGTTTCTCCGTTGCGAAATTTATACGCGCACGGCTCGCGCCGTGATTCTTGACTTCGATCAGAAACGATCTGACTAGTGTTTGGTTGATTTGAACTGCAGAAGTAATCGATAGAGGATCGACGGATCGGTAATCGACGCGCAAAGAATAGAATCGTGATCGAAAACCGAGGAATCGATAGCGGCAAATGTCAGAACTATTGGGAAAGGTCGAAGAGCCGGTGTGTAATTAAAGATACAATAGGAATCATGATTTCGTGAGGGAAAGCGTGAGAAGGACGTAACGTGCGAGTGTTTTCACGGCGGTAACGTGATTTTAATAAAAGGATCTTTATAAAATTTTCAAAAACAAAAAATAAAGAATGTGTTTCAGCGGGTCAGACGTGATATAATTTTTAAAGTTAAAGGTGATATAGTTTTACCGCGAAAATTATCAACATGTAATATCATTGATCGATCTTTAGTATCGTTTGTTTCCTACTTTTGTTTGATATGGTGTACACGGCAATATCGATAATGAATTCGATATCCATGACTGTATTGTTTCCATTGTAGAAACCTTGATGCTAATGCCAACGATAATACCATTATTATCCAACTTGTATACACACGCGAAGCAAAATACAATTTAAAAATTCACTTAAATACAAAATAGAATTGATCGTAATATTATTTGTGTAAAATCTATTTATAAAATATACTCTTTTCCTAAAACGAAATTTCGTCGGTGTGCTATAGGACGACAGGAGCTGCCGTTCTGATGACTCTAACGGTGAAATCTTTAAGAATGTCCCGAAGAGCAGCAGTATGTTTCGCATTTGGAAAATCGAGGTACCGTAAGACAAAAAAAATTACCGTAATTTCTACTCCCCGCTATATTAAAAGATATACGCGTAGATATGTTGAGCGAGTTTTATTTAGCCGCGCTGCTTTTTAACGTATTAAGAAACACAAAGAGTGAAAGTGTGAAATACAAAATTACCTATTTAACGTCTATGCAACAGGGTTTACGAGTCGCAGCCGTCACAGGAAGTAATATGGGATAT